TATAAAAAATAGATTTTATGAAAAAATATATTTTTTTTAAATAAGTTATTGATGATTCCACACTTTAAAAAAAACTTATCCTTAAAAAAACATTGTATCAATACATTAGGTATCGAATAAGTCTACTTATATAGAAGTCTCGTAAATAGAAGCAATTTCAATGGCCAAATGTTGTTCGTATCTCAGTATTCCAGTGCACTGAATAGAGCTTTAAAGCTTTAAAGTTCTATTGAAAGTATACAAGTGCTTTACGTGCACTTCTCAATAACTCATAGACTAAACAGCTATTCCATCTGTAAAAATAGCAACATAATGAAAATGTCAAATGCAGCCTATGAAAGTAAATTATTTTCCTTGATTAATATAATAATAAATGAAAGGTGTAATTAGTAAATGAGATTCAATTAGCTTAAGATACGATCATGTTGAATCACGCGTCAAGTTTCTCTTCTATTACTATCGTGAACTAAAACATTACAGTTTATTCAAGGGAGAGAAAATAACACGTTTGCATTTTCTCATGTGCTTATTTTGTACCTACGCTAAGTGTCATGCAGCTCATGTGCCTACCGCAAAGTTTGCGTGCGTAATATATGAATGACAGCTCTTTAAATATCTGCTATTTTTATTAATACTGACCATTTAAATAGAGGATATACCCTTATTCACAAGCTATTTTTGTAATTGTATATTTAAACCTTTCTCCTATTCTCTGCTTTAGTCTTATTACTTCATTCAGTCAATTTTAGAATGTCTTTTCTATATGTAGAGTTGCTTTGAATGGTATTAATATATTTTATTCAAGCCCATAATGATACTCTGTGAATAAAAATTAACTTAATTTTTTGGATCCTAGATGATGATGAATATATAAGCCTTAAACAATATTGAATAAAGAAAGGAATATTCATTAAATTGGATTTCATAGATAACTTTAATCCAATGAAATTCACAAAGAAATATTATATAGCCTTTACAACATTTTGTCAGTTCACAGACATTATCGACATTTAATTCATTGACATGAATTAAATTTGATAGAAGATAAAATGACGCAATTCATAAATATCCTTAAATTTTTTGGATAAATTAGTTAATTGGCACTTTTTGTGCTTTTAATATATGTTACCAAGCAAATGAAATGTTCATAATATTTCATTTGACATCAGATGGTATGCAGTTATTGTTGTTCTTATTACTGTCTTTTTTAAAATGGTATTTTGAAAATTTTTCGAATTTCTACAGATAATAAAACAATAAAAAGAGTAATGAAAAAAGAATAAATGTGTATCCTTGAAAAGATGACAAAAAAAAACGTATGTTACAAATTGAAAAAAGTTAAATCATTATCGGACTTGGATCAAACTTTAGTTAACAATAAGAAGGCTTTTTGCTATGAAAAAAGTCCTCAACTATTAGAACGATTAAACGAATCAGGATACTTCACAATTGAACTTGTAAGCTTTACAAAAGAGCTTATACATTGTTGGATTCTCTTTATAACGTCTCACACACCTTTTGAATCACCCTTATAAGTGAATCGAGTAATACCAGTAGTGTTAACGTTCACTTGTATTGATTTTATTCTATTGGTACATCAAGAATAATGATTTACACAGTAAGGTGAATCAATGACTGGAAGTTCGTTTAACGTATTTTCTCTAAGAATTTCGAAAGGAAGATTCATTCTTTGGCGGAAGATCTTTGTCAATGACACCAAAGATTCAACACTTCACATACCTTACACTATAAAAAGAATATTGAAAAATCGATACAAAAAATAAATACAAAGAAATAAAACATTTTCTTGTGATCTGAACAGCGAAATATAATTAAGTGAAGCTGTAAAAGAGAATTTTCTACAGCTTCTGCAATAAGAAACTAAAGGATTTCTCTCAACTAGCGTTGTAGTATAAGTTAATTGATCAATTATTCTTATTCATCTACACAAGACTTTACCAATTTACCACGATTGCAAGATTAAAGACGATGCAATATTATTGTTTGAAATACTTTTGGAAGTTCCATTCTATTAAGAATATTTTTTTTAATTAATTAAAACGATCTATTTTCTGAAAGAATAGCTGGAAAAAGATACATTATCTGTCGGAAGGCGTTCGTCAATAGCATCCAGGATCCAATGTTACAAATACGCGCCAGTAGAACTGTCTACAACTTCCGGTTGATGTGATATAGATAAGAAAGAAAAAAAAAAGATAGGACAACGAAAAACAGTACAGATAATATACGAGACAACGCCCAAGCGCGATTTTCCGCATCCGCCTACGCGTTTGATTCTTTATTACCCCCGTGTATTCTCGTGTATCGCGGAAATTATGATAAATTGGTTCGGGTACCCTAGCACCGACTAATTTATATCTCGCGCCTACGGAGTTGTACGGGAAAATTGTTCTAAAACTCGTACATCACCCTAAATGAAATGGGGCCGAGCGTAATCCAGTGGAGTGCGAGGTCTGTTGTGTTATGTTGCCATAGAAGTACAGGTAAAAATTAACAGGGAACACGGAATGATAACATATTCATTGTTTCTCATCGTATACCATACCATTTCAATTTTTCTCTGTCTCACTTGTATACTCGGCCGTTTGAGTTAATTGAGAGTGATGTGAAGATTAATGGGAAAATTTTCGTAATAACACTTCCAATTGGATTTCCACTCGAGCAACCACTCTAATCATTGAAATGGTGAATGCGTCATGTGTTAATTTTGCCATATTTTATCATAATAAAAAATTGAATTATTCAGTCTTCTGTTGATATAATGGAATTTCCCATATATATCCTGACAAATCATCAGACTTCCAAAAGATAGTTGATATTCATTGAAATGATCTGAAATATATTGAAATTTTTATTGTATTACTATTGTATAATTAACTGCTGAAAAGAATTACATATTTTATAAAGTCTTAACAGCTCACAGTTAAATGGAACAAATATTTTTTCATGATAATATTTTACTCTTAGTTTGAAGAATAAATTGGAACTTGTCCACACAACTATTACCAAGTCTTCTTATAATCTTTACTAAATCTCGTAAAATTGTACTCGTAAAGAAAATAATATCTGCTGTTGGCACACTCTAAGAATATGTCTCAACACGCCATAATATTGTGAGCAATACTGCAATAAATTTGACATCCAATTTTCTTAAATGTAGAAACCACACGCGTATTTATAAAAAAACTTTGGATAGAGTTGAAGATATTATTTATAGCTGCTTTTCCAATGAGACAGAACAATAGATTTATAAACGTATCTAACAGATATAAAGGAAGAATTCTAAATATAAAAAACATTAACTCTCTAACTAATCTTAATTCATAAAACTTCTGTGTCATGTATGAAATTGATAGGTTGCAATAAATGTGTCGGAGGATTTAAGAAGGTATTTCTTTAAAGCTTTGTGGATAAAAGAAGCTTCCTATTATCGAGTTCAATGAAAAAGAAGTAGATATCTTACGATAAAAGAGAAACAATATTCTAAAACAAATTGTAAAAGTAAAGTCTATCATTTTTCAAAGGTGTTTTATTCGAAGAAAAAAAAAATAATGTGTAATCAATAGTTATCATTGAAATAAAAGAAATGTTAATTTTCTGCTAAAAATTTCTCTTGTATCTTTCAGTAAAAGATATTTTATTAAAATTATCAAACAAATGTTAAAAGATAAGGTTGAAAAATTTCTAAATGTTACAGGTGCATACTGCAAATAGACACCGTGCACCTACAAATTCGTACGATCGCATATTTCATAGCAATCTTGGACGATGGAGCTGAGAGCACTTTTACGGAAATATAACTCCTTTGGGATCACATCCTTCGTCTTCTTCCTTACCGAATGTTTCACTACGAAATTCTGTAGCACATTCTCTAACCCGTGAAAAGTAGACTAAGAAAAAGAGAAAAAAACACCCTCTTCCGCATATTTTAATGGGCAGTCGTAAAATACGTACAAAATTAAAAATTCATTTTCACTATAAATTTAAGACTCTGCTAACTATATAGTTAGCAATACTGCTTTTTGTGTGGTGTGCATAGAATGAATCACTACATGTACATTTTATCACCATTGAATTGGTTAAACTTTTTTACCTTTTATTTCCATGCGACAAAATTTATTATTCATTATTTTATGCTCTACTAATACTTTTTATTATAGTTTTTTTATACCGTAAGAACAAAAGTTTATTTTTTTAACAATAATAGAAATAAATTATTTCAAAAGGAAGTACAGTAAGACATAAAGCATCCAAAGAGGAAACGAATATTTAAATAATATAATGATTTTGATAGTAACAAAAGTTTATCCAAACCAGAAACAAAACATCAAAAAGTTAAAGTAATCTATTATTGAAATTCATCTGAATATCGATTGTTCACAATTTTTTATAACTCTTTCTGTCTCATTTCATTTGTAAGATAAAATTATCTTTCCAGCAATAATATTCATAAGTTAATAATTATTCAAGTTCTCTCAAGTCGTGTAATTATTCAACTCGATTGAATATTTGAAATTATTGGGTAATAATATAACGTCTCACAATTGTGGTTGTTCTATTTTCATTATGCTATAATCTATAATGATTATATTTTTACTTTTGAACAATAATATTGGAATATTTATTGCTTGAGCAGGCCACAAAGTCTGCAAGAAACATGAGTATTTGTTATTATAAGCATATAAGCGTCTGAAGATTAGCCGGGATTATAGTCAACAGAGGTGAAGGTTTTAGTCACCCTCAGTCGCCGGATGCAGAAAATGATAATCCGAGAGTTAGAATAGAAAATGCACAATTACATTATATATTCTAAAAATATAAACCGTTTGGATCGATATTATTAAAATTAATTAATTATGTAAAAAATCAATAATAGTCGGTAGCAAGTTAGATAAAACTTAAATAATAAATTAGTGAAATAAGTTACAGATTTTCATTATTCAACTTTACTTTTTTTTAATAATCCATTTACTACATACCTCAAGGTTTTCATGCCATCAGTAGTTTTACCAGCATCAAGACGTAATCACTCCTCGTGTAAATGAGTTTGCTGCAGGTGAAAATTACTGCGTATGCGATTAAATTTGTGCAGTGACGCCTTAGGTCGTTCTACATCACGTTTATGAAAGGGTGTTTAGTGATGCAGTGAATATATAAACCCCTTCAACAGCAGAGACGATAAACTGTGGCAGTTGGTTATATATGAATTCCTTAGAGTCCTTTTCTCATTCCTTCTCTTATTCATTAACAGCGTGATTAGTATTACTCTTTTTATCTCACAAAACGAACTTTGTTTCGTTACAATAAAATAGAAGCACGTTGGTTCAGTCAATACTCTAAATATTATTCATACTTATTCAATTTATCGGCGACAACCCATTCCATTTATGTCATCTGTTCAATTACATAGAAAATAACTACTTTAGTTTATCAATAATATTATTTAGATACTAAATAAATATTTAAATGGTAAAAATATTTATATTAAAAATAATAATAATTTAAGTTTAATGAAAGGAAATATTAAAAATACAAATTAATTTTTTACATGATAAAAATTCAAAATAATAATTAACACAATTTTTAATATCATGCACTCTATGAATACATAGCAATGTGTAAACTTACTTGAATACTTGGTAGTTAAATTTCATTGAACCCCGGCTTCCAAAAGTCATACCAATAACCATAGTTCTGGTACATATAACCCACAATGGATCCAATTCATTATTGATACCAGTTATGGAAGGATTTATACATCATAGTTTCGTCCTCCAATGATACAACAATCACTGTGCTGTGGGAACCCAGTAATGATATGATTACCCACAGAAATAATCATAGAATTGAACCCTCAATATTTGCTATTTTAGAGTAGTTAGATGTGTAAACATAAGTTGATGCAATATATATCCAAGTATCAACATTAGTTGTCTGAGGGAAAATGTCGTAGAATAAAATATAATACACTTTCTTAAGGTTTGAAGCCACTTGATTTAACAATAGCCCATTGACTATCACATAATAGAAGTCTGAAGTGAAGCTCTAACCTCAATATCTTGATTCCATCATAGTTCTATCTATGAAAACAGATTTCATTGTACCCTGAACATTCTATTTACGATAACGAACAACGGAAAATTCGGTCTACTAAATAACTAATAAATACAACAAAATGACATTCTAATATTGTTGCATTATTTTTAGTTTTATTTTCATCCCACCAACCCTTTCATGTGACGCTTCGCGATTATTACCGGAAGTCTACCGCACTTACCTATACATATGTATGCATACGTTTAAAAATAATGTAGACAACTTTAAAAGAAATGATTATCTTTTTAGAATATTTTTTAATATGAAAATTTAATTATAATATAAAAAATAGATTAAATGTAACTATTTTATCTGTAATACATATATTTATATCGAATTATATTGCAAAAGTAATTGAAAATCATTCGTCGGAAGTAGGTCAAATTAGTAACTAAATTATCAAAAATTTGGTTATTTACGTATAAAAATTAATATAATTGACTAGAAAAAAAAATTAATATTTTCATATTTATTTTTCAATATAAATTATAAAATTTTCTACAAATTTCAAAACTTAAAATAATTAATAGTAAATGTAAAATTACCGTTGTACCAATTTGACGGTTTTGAGGACATGTTACGCAGTTTCTTTTTTTTTACGTACCATAACCATTTTAGTGCATATATGCTATAGCTTTAAAAAAATTAATATTTCTTTTACTTGATTTATATAAAGTTTTAGTACAAATGACAATAAATACTTATAGAGAAATGTGAAAGTAAGAATAAATGTTCATGAATGTCTACATTTATTAATTAATGGAATAGAAAAAATACTGCATTAATAAGTTTAGATTGTGTGATTATCATTGTTAAAAAGCCAAAATGGTTATTTTCTTTTTAAATAATAATAACAATAAGTAAAAAAGTTATAATTAAATTCAATTAGAATCTCTTCATCATATTTATTTTTTTAGGTGACTAGATGAGTTTCGAGGGAGATTATGATTTTCCTAAATGATCATTAGCAGCAATTCATATGATTCATGTTTACTACAAACTAGAGTTTAATAATCAGTAATTAACTGAAAATTCGAGATGAGAAACAAAGCAAGGACATTAAGAGTAATATTTCACTGATACCAATGTGCACCAAGTGTTTTGGATATCTAGAGTTCTAATTTGCGGTAAGCACTCAATAATTAACAGTAAAAAAAGTGAAACAAAAGAGATAAACGAGATTAGGATAGGATAAAAAAATAAAAAAAGCAAGAAAGCCGCAGAATGAAGACTTGACATGGGTTATATCCTTAAAATCCCCTGCGTTGTCTGCAAAAAGTTAGAACTTGTTTCTGCGTAAGCTGGTCATTATAAAGTCATTATCAGAAAATGGCGTGGAGCAAAAAAATATTGCGTTGAATAAATTTGTTCTCAGTTCACCCTTTTCCTGACACCTTCAAACAATTTTAATACATACGAAAAATATAAAAAGTTAAAATATCTTCAAGGAGGAAAAGTATTATTTATTAATGAATAATTTTTGTTAAGTAAAAAATTGAGCATCTTATTATATGAATGTAATTACAAAAAATGAACATTTCTTGCATTAATAATACATGGCTGACAGAGTATATAGAGAAAATTTTTATTTATTTTATTAGGATAGCTTTCTTTGTGTATATTCAAAGTAAATTTATATGAGAACGTTTTCTCGGAGGTTTTATTTTACATTTACGATTCACGGCTAAAGTATAATTATGTACTAAAATATATTTTCTGCTATTTAAATTTACATATGAGTAAAATATGCAAAACTAGGAGTTAAATTAGACATATAGCAATAATTCTTTCATAGTCAATCGTTAGATGGTTCGTTGCTCATAAACTGTATGCATCTATCTAAGTATGCAATCCATCCGTTGTTTAACTAGTAGGCGTTGATATATGCCGTACACTTTTATGACTCTTGAAGAAAGCCATTACTAAAAATCATAAAATAAATAATTCATACATATCGTCGCAAAGGGTCGAATGAGTAACCTATGTAAAAAGTGATAATTTATGGAAAGCTATTGAACTTCTCCAAGGTCGATCATTGGAGAATTGAGAAAATGCCAAAGACTTTGTGGCGCTTAGAAAATATCTACGATGCTGATAGTCTTGCATGAGACGAATTTCAATGACATTGATAACAACATGAGGTGGTATAAACCACGTGATGAAGGAGGACACAAAAACTTGAAAAATACGAGTTAACGTAGCTCCTGACGCCGTCGTTGGCGGCAGTAGATCGTAAATTTTGCAACCGCGGTGTCTTCCTATATGCCAAGGATTCTGGGTGCTTCTCTAGGAAAATAAAAACTCTCAAGATGAAAAGCTAGTTATTCTGAATATCTCGATATTTACCGAAGACACTCAAGTTAAGTATTTCTTACTAAAATATTTCTTGATCTCTACTATTCTTTATTTTTTATCAACAACAATTCCTCTTTTACGTGAATTAATTCTAGTAAAGAAGTATCACTTTTGATAGAAATTTTGAAATGTATGAAAACAAATTCTTTTTGCTAAGTACAACTAGTATTCGTCAGAAATCCCAATCATTTCATGTGACCAGCAAAGAAATGTTTTTTTTCATGGCCACTTTTTATCACTCTTCAAATTCTACCGTTTGTTTTACATATCCTGGTTTTCTTGGGAGTTTACAAGATGTTATATACATTCCAATAATTCACGAAGGTTAAATATTTATTTTGAACTGGCTGTTACACGTATATAACTCAAGAACAATATTCAATATTGATTCAACAGGATTCCTCGAGACCATTTCATAATATAACGCTCTTATGGATATAAAACGTTTATGTCAATAGGAGCGATTTGTCAACGTCTTGAACTTCGGTGTGGTCGTGTAGTATTGGTGGACGACGACGATCAAACCAGATAATCAACTAGCACTCGTTTTCACGTAACTATACCTCCTGTGTAGATTCACTTGAAGAGAACCACTCGTTTCTCTTGATATAGTTACGGTCTTCAGTGATGTCCTTACTTTAATACATTAGATCGATATATCTCCATTATAAGAAAAGTTTTACCTTGTTATTCAATGATAAATTGACCCGATCATCAACCTTTTATTTGAAAATTGAATAAAAATACTTTATCTCATTTAAAAATAAAAAAAACTTGTTTCTAAATATTCTTTTATAATTAGAAAAATTTCTTGATTAATTACTTTGAAAATGATATCTATAAGAGAAAAATTCTAAAGGCAATAATTAAAAATAGGAGTAAACTAGCCTCTAAAATGACAATAATTTATAGATATAAGAAACAAAGAGGATGATGATGATATTATTCAAAAGATTCTCATTATTTTTCAATTTTCTAGGCTACTATACACCATGGAAAAAATATTGAAGTTTAAAGGAGGTGCTAAAAGGGAATCATTATCAGATTCATAAAGATGAAGAGACGTTGAAAAATTGTGCAACGGCGTATGGCTAATGATATTGATATTGAAGAGACAAGAGGAGTTAAGCTATATCCTTCAGTTAATTTTTTTTTCGGTACTCTTTACCTTTCTCCAGTGTTGAAAAAACTAGAGCACGAAAAAAGATAAGACATTCTCCGACAGGGACAGTCCTGGAACGGTAGCTTCGTGATAAATCGACTGGAAGACACGATAGAATCGAACGGATGTACGGGTAAATCGCTATTCCGGGAAAATTCAATGGCTTGAAGGAAATTTCTCTTTCCTTCTTTTAACTTTAGCAATGATGTTCCAAGTTGTCATTGCTAGCAAAAATGGTAGAACTTGAAATGTCTCGTTTTGAGGAACAAACACGTCGACTCTCAAGCAACGGGTTGAATTACATACTCGTGAATAGAAACGGAAACTCCCTTTATTCTGACCCAACTGGTCTCTTCGTATACTTTAGCTGGTACTTGTAGAACAACCGTAGAGACGAAGAGGTGGAGATAGAAAGAGTAATACTAAGGGGAAGCAAAAAAGCAGTAGACAAATGAAACCAAAATATTGGGACAAGTTTGACAAAGCTCTTTGAATTTATTTGACGATACCATTGTATGCCTGTCTGAACACCCACACTACTCAGTGAATCCTACATCTGATACAATAGGTAAGGGTTAAACATGAGACAATATTTCTTTTTCATTCGAATTATTCATAACGTAGCCATTTCATTTTCATATTTTACATTTGTATACAAACTACAGTTTAATTTATGCTCTAAAAAATTATTTTGAAAAGGAATATTTGTTAAATTTTTGGAGTATTAACAATATATTCTTCTTCATTTTTATTTTTGACACTAATTCTTCTTTTTATTATCATTTTATCAAACATTTTATTTGTGATATTTGGAAAAAATTAATAAAAAGTTACTTTACAAAGTATATAATTTCAAAGGCAGTATAGGAATAAAGTAAACATTTCATGTCTTTAATAGCAGAGGTGTAGAAAGTAAGTACAAGGTAAAGTGATACCAAAAAGACCAGTTTAGATTCTCAACACTTGGCTTTGTTACGATCGTTACCTTCAATTTTATTATACCAAGTATTTTATAGAGGGATTGAATTTTTTATTGACTAAACATTGAATTATTCGTAATCTGATCCATAGGTAAAAAGGAAAGGGTTAATATTTTGACAGGCATCTATTCTATAATCTTTGTTATACTGAAGCACGAAGAATGCTTCGTATTATTTCTTTTTTCACATAATTTCCGGTTCTATGAATTCTTTGTCTGATTCGCATCGATTTGACCATGTACATCTCATTGAATTTGTTGAATGAAATTTAGAAAGATCGTTTTAGGTACTTTCGTGGTTCAATATAATGACAGTTGAATGGTAAATTCGCACCTGCTGATTCTCATTTCACACCACCTGTGGAGTGATATGTAGTTATATTTCAACAAAAATGTCACTCTCGATTTGTTTCTTTACATTTTCTCACAACACTTTATCAAATTTATTTTAGAAAGCTGCTAAAAAATTTTTTTTGTATTTTTTCTTTACTCTTTTTTTTTTGTTCAGCAATTTTTTATGTGGTTGAATGTAGAATTTATTAAAAGTAACAACTCACATAAAAAAATACTATGTGTAGAGAGCATTTAGTTAGTGAACTATGATTAGATAAATTTTCCTGACTTATGTATGAATAATTTTCTTCAGTACTCTAGCAGTTTAGAATGAAAAAGAGGATAAATTTTTTTAAAAGATATAAAGTATAGGTATAGTTTGTAAAAAATATTAAAAGAACAGTAATATATTTTTCGTGAGAAAAAAAAATTATTGTAAAATAAAAAGAGAATTATAGTGATGTAGAATGACTGAAAGTGAGAACAGAGTTTAGGAATTGCAATGAGAGATACTGAAGCTATGTATAAGGTATATTAGAATGTGTAAGATACTGTCTCACACATAACAAAGTAATTCTAGAGAATGGAGTAGACTTAGCACTCAGTAGGATTCTCTGAAATACTGGTAGTCTGGTATCACTGATACCTTGGTATAATTATATCACATCTGAGTAGCTTGCAAAATTTTCGATAGTCTTAGAATAAACTTGAGAAGTTTACATAGACAAGAATTAAAAAGTTTATTTACTTTAACTAAATGACGATTATGACTTATAAATTTTACATAGTTTGTTTTATTAGAAAAATGTATTGAAAGTGTTGTATAAGTTATAAGTTTCATAGTCTTTAAATTAATTATATAACATTTAAGCCATTAACTAAATTATCTTCCAATTTTTTAAAATAAATAATTCTTCTCTTTTATAGGAATGGTATCGATTTCATTTTGATTAACATTGCATTCGTTGGTTGTCTCCAAGGAAAAGAAGACTCTCAACTTCATCGAGAAAATCCTTCCCGACAAGTGCGACAATATTCGTTCGCGTAGTGTCTCTGGAGGGTAAGTAAATCGGCTTGAAATGAAATTTCCATTTTAGATCGAGGCGATACTGAAAGGAAATTTCAAATAATTGCACGAAATGTGGAATACCCCACAGTAGACTTCATTTATATTATCTCGTCCAAATACAGATCAATATGCAGACAAGAAAAGAGCAAAAATAATTTCGGTGAAAAAGTGATGGTGAGCAAAGAGGTGACGGGGCGAGGTTGACGTTCATACAAACGGCGCCGTAGGGCTCCCAATGGGCTACGAGAGAAAAAGAGAAATATAAAAAGTATGTTGCATTGGAAACGCTCGCCAGGTCGGTCGGTGAAACTCTCTTCCTACTTCCAATTGAGCTTCAATAATTCGTGGCCTTGCGCCAGGAGTCCAATACTCCTGGGTAAAACTAGTTGTCGTCACATTGAGGGTAAAATTTGATGGTGCAGAAAAGAGAAGAGGTATTGAATCCAAGAGATATGTAAGAATTGAAGTTTATACACACAGACTATGTGTTATGCAAAAATTGTGTTCATAACTTTTTCTAGCTTTTATATTTCAAGTTTTCTTCGTTTACCTCACTCAATTTTTCTTATTTTGTTAACTTTTGGCCTGAATAAAAGCCATCACAAATAAAATTTTTCTGCCAGTTAAAACTTAGTTTTTTTATGACTGATGAGCAATGAGGTAAAGCTTTTAATTTAGTTAGAAAAAATTTGACATTACGTATGGATGACACGTCAGATATATATTACATATTCTGCCTTGCTCAGTCTGTATGCCATGATAGTAATGAAGAGCAGAGACACTAGTAATCAAGGTTGAGACATGTGTGACCCTTTTGGCGCTTTTTGTTTCATTCTCCGAAGAGAAGCAAAACGAAAGAGGGTCTTCTGTTGCTGCTTTAATTCTGTAATTTACCCAAGAAAAGGGCTTAGTTTACTCTAAATACATTCGTGAAAGTGAAACTGAGTGACTACAGATAAAGCAAAAAGATGTTTATGTGATCACTCATCTCAAATTACGTGGGTTGGTCTTGCTCTATAATATCACAACTATTATTCCTCTGGTTTTTTTTATTTCAACCTCTTTTACTTTTTCATCTCATTTTTTTTATCGATGGGAAGCCGCGAATGACTCCTAGAGAACCCAGAATGAGAGAAGTCGAATGCTCGAAAATAAAAGTTAGAAAAAGTTTTGTGCGACCGATGCTTTTCAACAGCCGCGAATCGACTTTTGAAGTCAAGAGCAAGGGAAAAAGGAGGCAAAGAGATAGAACTATTGAGCAAAGCCGGGAAAAGATTTTCTGGTCGAGTAAACATTTAGACTTCGTGCACCGCCAATTTTTTAGATCCCTTGCAATGATTCTCTTGAGTCTCCAATAATTATTGATTTTTAGATTAGACGCGGGTCGCCGAGTTGTCTTTTTTTCTTTATAATTTATCTTTCTGAATCTCCATCGACTCTGACGACAGCAGATGATTAAAAATTTGCACGCTTCGTTGCTATCCGTGATGACAGAGACTGTCCATAATTGTTGATAAAAGAATTTTAAGAAATATGCCTTTGATCATTTCGCATTACAATTTTATAATAAAAAAAGTTTGACATTTAATACATTGATAGATTCGTTAAGTGTTTTTTGTTTTAGACTGAAAAATAAAAATGATTTGTTGAAAAATTTAATTAATAAATACAGTAACGATGAAGAGAGTTATTAATATTTAGCTTGGTTTTTATTTTAATATTGAAAAGTATGTATTTATTTTATTGCATTTTTACTATGATGAAAAAATTTATACTTCATTCTCAATTGAACTATTATTTCATACTGTAAAATTGAACAGATGATTTAAAATGGAAAATAAAACTGAGTATATATTTAATATTTTTCCACAATACACATCCGGCTAAATGAGGCGTTTCAATCTAGAATTTTTAGACTGCAATCGGTGCTTCACGATTCTCTGTGCATATTATATGCATCGAGATAAATCGTCGACGACGTGAAACGATGCTCAGACCTGCGTTCCACTTCCTTTCATTCTTTTCATCTATTCCCTACTCCCAAGCTATCCATTTTTTCTTTATTACGTTCTCTTTTGAAGGAAGGGTTTTCAACAGTTTTTCCTTTTTTGACTGCTTTACAAAATAAAAAGTTCTCTCTTTTATAACATATTGGTTGACCGATTTTTTATCATTTTTATTATATCTTACATTCTTGAAAAATTTTAGTCATTGAACAAATGAAAATTGTTTAAATTTTACTTTTACCATAGACAACGTAAAATAGTTAAAATTTATAAAACGTAACTCGACAATTTGAATGATAGGAGGAGCTTTGATAATTGAATGTTATCTGACATACTTCAACATATCTGGTTAATCGGAATTTCGGTTGTGGATTTTAGAAACAATTTCATGTAGACCTAACTGGCAATGTCTGTGAAACAAATCTAGTTTAGTCGCTATTTCATCCATTGGGTTTCAGCCAAATAATTGAGGTTTTAGGAACGAAAAGTACGTCAATGGTGAAACGATGATCGTGACCGGTCAAGAGGTAGTAGCTCAATGTCTGCAAAATGCGACAATAGAAGTCCACAAATCCTTCAATTCCTAGGATTGATGGAAGTGTTATTCGATTTCCTCTATTTCTCTCAAAATCATAAAATTTATATTCTACATTTCATCTCGGATTCAGATCGCAAATCTCATAAAAAAATTGGATATTTCTGAAGTGTATTGGAAAATTTATAGAGAAAAACAATCCAAAAATAATCGTTCAGTTCAATGGAATATTTACAAAGATCATTGTTTAATTGAATAATATGTGTTTGAGATCAAATTTATAAAAATGTTGGAAGTTAATTAGCCAAGGAAAGTTAAACATGATATTCTCAAATCAATTGAGTGCTAATCGATTAGTTTCCACTTTGAAACTCACACGTGTGGGATCAGAGTGGTTTCATGAATATCTTAACGTGTAGATAAGTACCTTGAGTTACCTTAATCACATCAACTGGTCAGCGGTCTAGATAACCCCAAAGTGGAGTTTGGTCTGTATCTGGGTAATCATATAGACGAAATGGTTATGCCGTGAATATAATAGTGTCACTCATGAATGATCGAATTAATGGAATATTCATTTCTAGTACAATTTACAGATGATGTACGTCTACATATAAACTATGTCTGTACAGAGATTTACTGATACTAGACAAGATAATTCAGACATTGATAATAATTGATTATTACCACACTGTGATTTATGGGTTAATGATTCAATGAGAGAACATGATTAACATTGAAAAATATATCCCATTTTCAATTTACATTTATTCACAACAAATTGTAATTAATTATAGAATCCAATTATATTGTCATTATGTAAAATTTAATTTTATTAATAAAAATTTAATTTTTATTGTAGAGTGATCATGGAGTGAAATTCATCATTAACGGATCTGGGGATAAACCTCATTATTACAGCAGTTTTATTAGCTACATAAGCAACTCCACTTCTGAGATGTTACATAAAAGGTACATGAAATTCAAAATATAAAGCTTTAAACTTTAAAATGAGCCAAAATAGAAAAATAGAACAAAAGATTCTTATATTTTTTTAACATTTTCTGAATTCTTATTCTTCATTTTATATAATTCATGGAATTTTAATAACTGAATAATGTGCCAACATTAACTATTTAAATGAACCTGAATAAAATGACAATAAGAAGAAACTTCAATGGTTGAGTATATTTTATTATTAAAGTTGTCTTCTTAAAGGAAATTCGTTAACCTGAACGTCAAAATACGTTAATAAAATAACTAACCAAACTTATTAAGAATTTAATAAATGTATACAAAAGATGAATTACAAAATATTCAAGTCTCTAATAAAATAATTAAATGATTGATAGTTTAAATATTCTTGAATGAAAATTGTATAGTCTAATATCAACATAACTTTTCTATTATTTGAACTTTTTTACGGTTTGACCTTTCTAACTTACATCTTTTCTTTGCGGATATTCACCAACTTTTTAGTATGCACTTTACTTAGTTGCAATAAACCTGTGAAAGCACAGTCAGTATCTTTTCTTTACTTTTCTTTCTTACAGTTATACTTAAATCTTGTTATTTTTTTTACGCATCCTTCTAAATTTTTTTACTCGACATATCAACGTGACTACACATAAAATATTAACACTAAACTATGCTGGTTTTGACATCATATAGGTAAAAGGAATTCTACATATTCCTCAAGAAGATCTTTTTTTAAAAGGTAATTTTATTTTTAGTTTTTATTTACACCTAGTATTAAAAAAGAAAAATAGGAGCATCAGTTATAAGCTAATATTTTTACTGTTAAATATATTATTGCTATTTACTTGACGTAATTAATAATATATTTCAATTGGTTCTTTATTTGTTATTTATACTCTGTTTAGTTGAAAAAGTAGCTTTTAAAGTTTGCTTTAAATTAGAGTATGTATTTCGCTCACGGTACAAGCTCGAAGCACTTTACCACGTGCAGTATGCATGACAACATAAGGTTCTGCAACAATCTTTTTCCTTTAAATGGTTGAAAGTCACAGTGAAACGACGCGTTGCATTGAATTTTGTACGAAGACAGAACTTGTATATATCTTGAACATGCTGTTGTTATGAATCACAAGTTCTCACATAAAGTTTAGAACATACACAACATTATTATCATTAACAATTGTGTAGAGAAAAATTAACAAGGTAGAAGATCAAAGAAGTTCCATACAATTAATGTTTTTAATTTAGATAATGGAAATATAAATGAAAAATTTTTATACAGTTGAATTTACCTTCAGGAAATTACGAAAATTACCTTCATTATTTTTTTATACTTTTACAAGTTGTTTTAAACAGGCATTCGATTATAACATTTATTTATCTTTAATTCTAATATAAAATAATTATGTTAAAAATATTACAAAAAATAAATTATTTGATAACAACCTTTTGAACTTTGTATCTAATTTAGTCTTTGTATTTAAAGTGAAGAAAATAATAAAGTTTATTTTATTTTTAGCACATCATGGGCAGTTTTCGTACAAAGCAACAAGTATCACCAGCTAAAATAATGCGTTCGCGAGAGACGTGAAAATGAACGTCGAAAATTGTCTTTCAATTTGTACAAGAAAGAGAGACAAAAGTAGCTACGAGAAACAGATGAGAACACGAATGGAAAACGACATGAGACGGAGTGGTTGCGGGCACGCAAGGGATGAACGTTGCGGTTGTCGTGAGGAAAACAAACAAGAGTAAGTAAAGTCAGATAGTACTCTAAATGCCATGGTTCTTGGCTCAACTGTTCGTTTTTATACTTCTCCTGTTGACGTCGCATGTTGCCACTATCTCCGGCAAGAGGAAGATCCATATAGCGCGAAATACGAGTGATGCTGCACAGCCATTAACGCTTGGATGAATTAAACC